GACAAGCAGAGGTTTGCAAGAGAAACACAATTGTATGTTTAATAAATTTGTTAAGGGCTAGTCAGGTCATCATACAATATTTCCTTGTACAAGTAGAGATGGAGAGGTATAGCACACCTGTATCTGCCAACTGCTGGATTGCAAGGTCCTTCACTCTCAGCCAGCTCATGTGGAACACAACTCATGTAACACTCTGTCAAGCTCACCTGCTATAAGATAGATTACAACTCCCACTGGCACCAGAACATAATAAGCCTGTCATAAGCAAGTTAGGACTTTGTAATTTTCTCCGCTGGTGAACTGCCAAAGGGTCTTTGGTCAGTCAGTCCATAATAGTTAATTGGAGGATATGTCTGTGCTGGATTTTGGTTTTGTGCTATACTAGGCATGAAATTCAGGCACCTACCTAATATAAATGCACCCCACCCCTTAATATCGAGGTCACTACATATCTTCCCCTATGTACATTAAAAGTGGATAACGAGTGTCTATAGACCTCCAAGCACCAGTATACAGTATCTCACAAAAGTGAGTACTCCCCTCACATTTTTGTAAATGTTTTATTATATATTTTCATGTGACAACACTGAAGAATTTGCACTCTGCTACAATGTAAAGTAGTAAATGTACAGCCTGTATAACAGTGTAAATGTGCTGTCCCTTCAAAATAACTCAACACGCAACCATTAATGTCTAAACCGTTGGCAACAAAAGTGAGATTTTGTAGAATGAGTGGAAATGTCCAAATTGGGCCCAAGTAGCCATTTTCCCTCCCCGGTGCCATGTGACTTGTTAGTGTTACAAGGTCTCAGGTGTGAATGGGGAGCAGGTGTGTTAAATTTGGTGGCATCGCTCTCATACTGGTCACTGGAAGTTCAACATGGCACCTCATGGCCAAGAACTCTCTGAGGATCTGAAAAAAAGAATTGTTGCTCTACATAAAGATGGCTTAGGCTATAAGAAGATTGCCATGACCCTGAAACTGAGCTGCGGCACGGTGGGCAAGACCATACAGCGGTTTCACAGGGCAGGTTCCACTCAGAATAGGCCTCGGCATGGTCAAACAAAGAAGTTGAGTGCACATGCTTAGCGTCATATCCAGAGGTTGTCTTTGGGAAATAGACGTATGAGTGCTTCCAGCATTGCTGCAGAGGTTGAAGGGCCACCCTGGGTGGGGGTCAGCCTGTCAGAGCTCAGACCATACACCGCAAACTGCATCAAATTGGTCTGCATGGCTGTCGTTCCAGAAGGATGCTACTTCTAAAAATGATGCACATGAAAGCCCACAAACAGTTTGCTGAAGACAAGCAGACTAAGGACATGGATTACTGGAGCCATGTCCTGTGGTCCGATGAGATCAAGAAACACTTATTTGGTTCAGATGGTGTCAAGCGTGTGTGGCGGCAACCAGTTGAGGAGTACAAAGACAAGTGTGTCTTGCCTACAGTCAAGCATGGTGGTGGGTTGTCATGGTCTGGGCCTGCATAAGTGTTGCCAGCACTGGGGAGCTACAGTTCATCATGAATGCCAACATGTACTGCAACATACTGAAGCAGAGCATGACCCCCTCTCTTCGGAGACTGGGCACAGGGCAGTATTCCAATATGATAACGAACCCAAACACACCTCCAAGATGACCACTGCCTTGCAGAAGGTAAAGGTGATGGACTGGCCAAGCATGTCTCCAGACCTAAACCCTATTGAGCGTTTGTGGGGCATCCTTAAATGGAAGGTGGGGGAGCGCAATGTCTCTAACATCCACCAGCTCTGTGATGTCGTCATGGAGGAGTTGAAGAGGACTCCAGTGGCAACCTGTGAAGCTTTGGTGAACTCCATGTCCAGGAGGGTTAAGGCATTGCTGGAAAATAATAGTGGCCACACAAAATATTGACACTTTGGGCCCAATTTGGACATTGGTAAGTTTAGGGGTGTACTCACTTTTGTTGCCCATGGTTTAGACATTATTGGCTGTGTGTTTAGTTATTTTGAGGGGACGGCAAACTCACACTGTTATACAGGCTGTACACTTACTACTTTACATTGTAGCAGAGTGTCATTTATTCAGTGTCATCACATGGAAAGTTATAATAAAATATTTACAAATGTGAGGGGTGTACTGACTTTTGTGAGATACTGTATATCCTGCAGCAACTGCAGCTTGTGTAGTGGATGCAGTGTCTGTTTATGTAGGGAATGCAGTATGTCATTGTGTAGTGGACATAGTGTGTATAGTGGATGCAGTGTTTGTGTAGTGGATGCTGTGTGTACAGTGGATGCAGTGTTTGTGTAGTAGATGGGGTGTGTAGCGGATGATGTGTGTATAGTGGATGCGGTGTTTGTGTAGTGGATGTAGTGTTTATGTAGTGGATGCAGAGTGCTTTACATTTTTCTACATTAAATTTCATCTGCCATTTGAGTGCCCAGTCCCACAGTTTATCTAAATCCCTCTGCAGCAAAGTAAGTATAAGTAATATCTTGCTCACATTGTATTATTTTGCAGTTTTTTTTTTTTGTCATCTGCAAAAACTAAAACATGACTTTCAATGCTTATTTCAAGATCATTTATAAACTTACAACTTCTGTCCGGCTTGCAAATTTACCATTAACGACAACTCGTTGTACTATATTTTTAAGCCAATGTTCTACCCAAGAACAAGAATTTTCTTCTAGACCAATTTCTTTCAGTTTCAACACTAATCTATTGTGTAGAACTGTATCAAATGCCTTGGAAAAATCCAAGTGGATCACATCCACTGCAACACCCTGATCTATACTTCTACTTACTTCTTTGTAGAAAGCAATTAAGTTAATTTGACATGACCTGTGCTTCATAAAACCATGATTTTTTCTGATAACTACATTCTTCTCAAAGAATTCCTGAATATTATCCCTTAATAACCTTTCAAATACTTCCCAGCCAGAGAAATAAAGCTCACAGATGTATAATTTCCAGGCAAGGATTTTGAACCATTTTTGAATATAAGAACAACATCTGCAAGAAAAGAATCTTGAAAGATTAAGACTAGAGGTTCACTTATTTCCACACTTAGTTCCCTAAGTACTCATGGATGAATACCATCAGGACCTGTAGCTTTGTTGATAAATACATTCTTTAGTTGCTGCAGCACCTTGTCTTGAGTAATCCAATTACAATTTTTCTGCATATTTTTTTGCAGCAGTCATTTGCATATCTATAGCCATGGGTTCTTCCTTAATATATAGATGATATAATTGTAAGAATCGAAAGTACCAAAAAAACAGACTTAACAGAGAACACTTTCTTAAAAAAAAAAAAATTATATATATATATATATATATATATATATTTGTGCTCGGAATTTAATACGTAATGGATAGTATCTGTAAGGAGAAAGTTGGTTGTGGTGTGCCGAAACCAACGTACGAGTGGGCCTGTAAATAAAAGAGGGCCCACCAAGGAAAATGTAATTATAACAGGGTGTAGGTGGGTGGGGACAATCAGCTGAACGGCAGAGGTGAGTAGGGGCTGGGAGTTTAAGTAGGGGACTTACTCCTCCCACAAATTCAGGCCTAATGGCCTTTCTACTTGTGCTCGGAATTTAATACGTAATGGATAGTATCTGTAAGGACAAAGTTGGTTGTGATGTGCCAAAACCAACGTACGAGTGGGCCTGTAAATAAAAGAGGGCAAAAGAGAAGTTCGAGAAAATACACACTTTATTGCCTTTTTACATAACCAAGTTCCTGAAAGCTTGACGAAGCTCTTTTTCTGGTCGTGGAATATAAGTATGGTATATGGAGGATTTCCATCGCCCCAGTCTCTTGATGATGTGGACCAGTGTATTAGTGCTGGAGGCTGAAGAGGTGGCTCATATGCGAAAGGAGTGCCCGGAGAATGAAGTCGGATTGAAACCCAGTTTAGATAATAGTGTTCTGACGTGAGACGTGAATTTAGCAGTGGTAAGCAGGTGCCCTTGTATTGATAAGAGCGGAGAGTCTGGTAAGTGCGCGTTAAGGGTTGACCGTAGGTGGTCTAGCGCCTTGACCGGACACCAGGCATTATCAGTAGGGAAGAGAGGAATTACAGTGGGGTGTAGTGAATGGTTGGTTTTAGTTGACGAAAGTAGATAGTGATCCTCCACCTTTGTGAGGTGCGATGTTTTTAGGCTGTGCGTGATATCCCCTTGACGAACAACGGTGAACTCTCTAGGTCTGAGAAAACCGTAGAAAGTAAGATAGATAGCCGCTTTGATCACCAGGTTTGTGTCGGGATCAAACGGGGATTCGTCAAGGAGATTGCTAAGTGATCTGAAGATAGGCCCATCTATAGGTAGTCTTGTGATAGTGAGAGGAGCTGAAACCTTTAACATACCTTTCAATACCTTTTTAATGAGTTATGATGACAAGAAGGGGGTGTTGTTAGGAAAATTTGTGAGGCTATGGTGCTGCACCCCGGTGAGGTAAAGTTTTATGGTGTTGTGGGAAAGTTTAATATGTAAGTGGCAGAAAGAGGCAAAAGCCACCATGGTTTGTATAGAAAGGTCCAGGGGCGGACTGAGAGCCTTTGGGGCCCCCGGACAAAATTAGATCCCAGGCCCTTTGAAGGCCAAATATACGTGCATTAAATAAATGTTAAATATAACTCATAATACGGCATTCCTTTGGATGTGTATATTGTGAAGACCTGTGTATCAATGCATGCTTGTATTTGAGTCTGTGTGAATGCACTTGTGCATGTCTGGATGACTACATGTGCTTTTTTGTATATAGTGTCTGTGTGAATGCATATGTGACAGGTGACAGAGTGTATGAGGGAGAAGGTGACAGGTGGAAGAGTGTGGGAGGTTGTGACAGGTGGCAGAGTGAGGGGGTACCTGGTGGCAGAGTGAGGGAAGGAGGGGTTGAGGGGTGGCAGAGTGAGGGGGAGACACAGTGAGTGGGGGTGACTGGTGACAGAGGGAGGGAGAGGGGGTGACTAGTGTCAGAGTTAGGGAATGGGTGACTAGTGGCAGAGTGGGGGAGGGAGGGAAGAGATGACTAGTGGCAAAGTGAGGGAGGGAAGAGGTGACTGGTGACAGAGGGAGGGAGTGACTGGTGACAGAGGGAGGGAGTGACTAGTGACAGAGGGAGGGAGTGACTAGTGACAGAGGGAGGGAGTGACTAGTGACAGAGAGAGGGAAGGGGTGACTGTCACTAGTCACCCCCTCACTCTGTCACTAGTCACCCCCTCTGTCCCTAGTCACCCCCTTCCTCACTCTGTCACTAGTCACCCCATCCCTCTCTCTGTCACTAGTCACCCCATCCCTCTCTCTGTCACTAGTCACCCCATCCCTAACTCTGTCACTGTGAAGGAAGGAAGGGGTGACTGGTGACAGAGTGAGGGGATGCCTGGTGACAGAGTGAGGGAAGGGATGACTAGTGGCAGAGTGAGGGAAGGAAGGGATGACTGGTGACAGAGTGAAGGAATGACTGGTGACAGAGTGAGAGAGGGGGTGACTAGTGAAAGAGTGAGAGGGGGTGACTAGTGACAGAGTGAGGGAGGGAGTGGGTGACTAGTGACAGAGTGAGGAAGGGGTGACACAGTGACAGAGTGAGGAAGGGGTGACACAGTGACAGAGTGAGGAAGGGGGTGACACAGTGACAGAGTGAAGGAGGTGGTGACTGTCACTATTCACCCCATCCCTCCCTCTGTCACTAGTCACTCCCTCCCTCACTCTGTCACTAGTCACACCCTCCCTCACTCTGTCACTAGTCACACCCTCCCTCACTCTGTCACTAGAGTGAGGGGGTGACTAGTGGCAGAGTGAGGGAAGGAAGGGGTTACTAGTGACAGAGTGAGGGGATGACTGGTGACAAAGTGAGGGAGGGAGTGGGTGACCAGTGACAGAGGGAGGGAGGGAGGGAGGGAGGGAGTGGATGACCAGTGACAGATGGAGGGGGTGACACAGTGACAGAGTGAGGGAGGTGGTGACTGTCACTAGTCACCACCTCCCTCACTCTGTCCCTAGTCACCCCTCCCTCTGTCACTAGTCACCCCCTTCCTCACTCTGTCACTAGTCACCCC